GTCCCCTTGGACAGATCGGAGCATAGATTTTGTCCTTTGTTTGCCATGTACACAGCGAGATATGAACTCAGTATTTGTTGTGGTTGATTGATTTTCTAAGACGACTTATTTTCTAGCTTATAAAAAGACCATTGATGCCTCACATATTACACATTTGTTCTTTAAGGAGAATGTTAGATTGCATGACGTGCCCAAAACTATGACCTCTAACCGTGATCGGAATTTTACTAGTCATTTTTGGTGGAGCTTGTGGAAGAAGCTTGGAACTTAACTGAATTTCAGTACTGTGTATCATCCACAAACAGATGGTTAAACTGAAGTGGTGAATCGGAGCTTGGGTGATTCGATTCGTAGGCTTGGGGATCAGACATTATCTGAAGCAGAGTTTGCTTTTAACAGGTCCTAGAGCTGGTCCACATTGTTTATGGACAGAAACCAAGGAGTGCTCTTGGTTTAGCACTAGTTCCACATATCGCCCCAGTTAGTGACACGGCGGAGGACTTTATTGAACACATCAAACTTGTTCATGAGCTAGCAAAGTCAATTCCAAATATAAGGCAGCCTCTGACAAGCATCACCGGTATATGATTTTTGAAGTTCGAGATTTTGGCAGTCTTGACTAATGATAGATTTCCAATAGGGGAATATCATAAGTTGAGTCAGTGCAAGATTAAATTGTGTTAAGTGGTCAAGATTAATGATAATGCCTACAAATTTAAGCTTCCCAGCTATAGTCGCACTTCCGATGTTTTTAATGTCAAGAATCTCATTCCAAATCATGGTGATACCACTGATAATGAGCTGCCAAATTTGAGGGTGAATTCTTTTGAGGAAGGGGGGGACTGATGCGGCCCAGAATACTACTCCTGAGTTGTCTAGATATGATATACAAGCTTAAAGTTTATAAAAGGAACCGCGAAGAATACTTTGAGAGCATGGCACCCCTCTAGCTAGGGTTTGAGAGATTGGAAGCGAGGGCTTGAAGCTCTAGATTACTCCAATCACCTTGTCGCAGTGAATCGGCACACAAGAACTTATCGTTTCCTTTCATCTGACTTCCATTCTCCTTTTTCCAGCAAGCACTAAGAGGTGTTTATGTAATTTAAAGTTGAAAATCAAAGAATCTTTTTATTTCGAGGAGTTGCTAAATACACATACTACTAGTTCCTGCATGTTTTCTTATTTGTATTGCTCTTCTAAATTTCAGATCTTGAGCTTCTCTTTGAACAATTGAAGATTTTTCCACATACTAAAAGCTGCCCAGATTGCAATTCAAATGCTGACAACCATTGTGGGATAAGTTATGGTAGGTCATTGCTTTCCGGCACGTCATCTCGAATCGAAAATGGTAGGATCCAGTCATTGATATGTTGCATGTCATTAGGGATGGGAGCATAGTTACCTGAAGCGATTCGAAAGCCAAATTGATTTAGGAATCCGAAGTGGAGAATCGCTGCCTGCTGGAAGATTCATGTTTTCCAAATCGACATCCGCACAAGAGGAATCAAGGGGGACGAGATTCTTATTTTAGGATTCGAGATTCGACCAAAATAGAATCGAGATCCCCATATCGATGAAATCAAGATTCTTAGCTCTTTGGAATCAAGTTTCGAATCTAGTTGGAATCGACTAATATAGAATTGAAATTCCTTCTTTTATGGAATTGAGATTCCGATATCTTTAGAATCGCGAGGGAATTGAGAGGAAAACAATACGTCTTAATGTCATTCACTGACCGACATGCCATACATGTACGTTTACATTATTTGTATTACATTATTTCAAACACATTGGAGTTGCAATCTCTCCAATGGATCAATATAATGCATACTTAAAGAATTAAGTAGAGAACACGGACCACCACTGTGATTTCTATTGGTCATTTCATGCCAAAAAACCTGACTACACCTTGTAGCTTGAGATTGGGTGTCTAGCTCGAGTAGTTTGATGCCTTGAAAACTTCTAAACATCACTTCCAAGGAAAAAGCAAAAAGAAAAAGGAAGAAGTCGTAGAATTTTGGTAAATGTGGAAACCAGTTTTAACAAGTATAGAATTGAGATTTCACCAATTGCGGAATCGAGAATCAGTAAATATTAGAAAAAAAAAAAATTATGTAATTGCAGGAATCAACATTCCAAAAATAAGGAATTGAGACTCTAGACTTCACTAAAATGGATTCCGTGATGATTCCTAGTTGGAACCCACCAAATCGGGGTCCCAAATAAAAATCGCGACCTTTGATGAGAGATATGAGTAACTGTGGATGGGACAATAGTTAGAATCTAGTTTAGGCATGGCTCTATTGTATACATTCCAATAGAGTGGCCAAGAAGAGGTCCCATTCGTGAGAATGGCTTCAGACCAAATGAAAACCATTTTTAAAACTTTATAAGGTTAGGCATCTTTTTGCTCACAAACAAATATCCCACATCAAAGATGTGGGATAGAAGTCAGGGGGCAAGCCCCTTATAAAAGGCATACAGGTTTGAAGTCTATCGTAGATCTTTAATAAGATGCATGTGGGCCCACTCCTCCATAAGAGGGGGGTACTAATATGCAACAAAGTAGGGTTAGAAAAAAGCCAACAAAGGTGGTGGGACCACTTTTATGTAATAAAATATGGAGTACAAAGATAGAGGAACCACTTGTCTATAATAAATATGAAGTAGGACAAATGAAAACAAAAGATAAATGCCGGAACCGGCCGAATCCGATATTTTACGGGATCTGGATTAGCCTAGCCGATACCCAATCCAGATCACCGTTTTTTAAAACATTGGTTCACACAATGATTGACCAACTGAAGGAAGCTCTATTAAGGGTTATATCGTCGAACTCATGCCTAAGAATAAAGGCAAAAAAGCTTCGATGCTCAAGGTAATTTTTCCTCCCCTAGTTTTCTTTAAGGACCATCTTATAATGGTCAAATCATCCCCAACACACTAGGGGAGATACCCTAGTTATAGATTTGATTGAGTTCTCGCCACAACACTTTCTATTAGGAGGCCGATTTGGTCCATATCCTACAAGGAATCTCTAAATTTTGGGTTATTGGGGCAATTTGGAAAAAGTGATGTAGACAAAGTAGACGCCCTTCTTGCTAGGTGAGTCACTTGCATGCATTAATTAAAAATAAAATAAAATAAAATAAAATCATGATACAAGGCACAAGAGTGAATCAAGAAACATGGAAGCAAACATAACCAGATTACCTTAACTTGATAACATCCAAGGACTTAGAACACCCTACTTCAGATCTCCAACACTGATGGCAAACCCTGAACACTCTTTTAACTAGAAAGAATTCAATTCAAGGTTTAGGTTGTTTTCTCTTAGTCTCTTAAACAGGAAGCCAAGGCAAACCCTAATTCAGACTACGACAGCATAACCAAGTCTAACTTCCAATCTTAGGTCAACATGGACTAGGGCTAAGCACTCTCTTAGTCCATGGGCTTGAGCATGCCACCCCTATCTGTCTTAGATGGGGCATGGCACCCCTCTTGGTTTAGGTTTTGAAAGAGTAAAGAAAGATGAGCGAGCTGAGAGTGAGTGGCATGGGGCTCTCAGAGAGAGGAGAGAAGAGAGGTCTCACGTGTGTTAGAGGCCACCCCAAAGGGATCATTTATAGTAAAGGGGATTCAATCCTGACTGTCGATCTAAGGAAATCTGTGGGATGAAGACAGGCTTTCAATCTCATCTATCCATTCTCTAAATCGGCCATCATGATTAAAGGGAAGGTTCTAGAAGCATTATCCATCATTTTCCTTGACCCGTTCTCCCTAAATCTTTGATTTCAAGAAAATATGATATAGTTCCCTAAAAACAACAAGTTCCGGAACGGTTACCATAAAACCACGAAATCGTCTCTCTTTAATCAAATCTCCAATCAAATATTCTCTCAAAATCTAGCCTTCTTGTAGAAGACTTGCCCATCAAGCAAGAGGAGAGATATAAGTGGTGCGAGGATGATAGTGGGTTTGCATGTGGGCCCCACCCCCCAACAAAGTGGGCCTCCCATGAGTAGGACCCCACTAGCAATGGCCCCCTACATGCCCCTCTAATTTTTTAAGATACTATTCGACTCACCAGTTGACTCAGTTTTGCCAGTGACTGAGTCTATCACCATATTCAAGTTTCAAAACACGACTTCAAGAAAACTATGCCTGAATCAGTCAATAATAACGGCCAAAGATGACATTCAACCTAGTCAACATAGAAAATAAGCTGCTTAACAATCTGAAGGATCAAAACCATCTTTCATTCAAGGTGGTGATACAATCCTTTTGGAGGTCATCAATGACCTAAAGCAGACGAAAGAAGCACCTTAGAAAACACTGACATTGCATATTTTAACAAAGTCCAACTATATCAGGTGTATACTATGCGGAGACATTTATGGATGCACTTATAGTGCCATCTCGATGACAACGAAATAGCAGTTTGCATCATTGATGAAAGGTTACTATTTCACTTTATTTACTAGATGACATTGCTATTTAAAAGAGCCTTGTTAACTCTGGCCAGTTTCAAGATCCCAGCATCGAAGCAAACGGGACTTGTGTCTTGCTCAACCAAAGCCAAGTTATACAACCATGACTGACCAAGTCATTTTTAACTACTGCGACACTTAGCTTCAACAGGAACTGACACTGAGAAAAACAGTCACTAGATACACATATTGGAAGCTTTGTAAATGATAACCATCCCCCATCTTGAATCTCCATGTTTTCAAAATGACTTAACATTAAGTCCAGGATTGTAAACTTCAAGAATCATTCTATTATTAATGACTAATCTATAACATATGAACCTTAAAATGCAACACTATCAATATCAGTAGTTATTTGATGTTTGGCACTCAAATCTTACTTGAAGACAATGTTGATATTACGAGAAAATATTTCGAACGTAAGGAACTCAAGTATCTAAAAATCAATAAGATAAAATGTTCTTTTCTTTCGTTTTTTGGGGTACGTAAACAAATTAATATGAAACTTACTGGCAATTCTCTATGAAGAATCCAAGAACCCTGCTCCTCATCAAGTGTCAAGGGGATTTTCTGCAAATTTCAACATGCCAAATCCATAAACTCAGAAGACTATTACAACAAATAGGATCTAAACGATGTCATGATTTTTTAAGATTTAGTGCATGAATATTAATATCGGATCAGTTCCACATATATGTAATTCTCATGTCATAATGAGTATAAGCAAAAGTAATCTTTAGTTCCTCAGGACTGCAATCCAAATTCTGCAGAATCTTAGTCTTTCAACGAAGACCTCTAAGGTAAGTGAAGAATTAACATCAAGGAGACAATGCACTACCTCATTTGATAACACTTTCATCAAGTATCTTCATTACATGATTTTTTACCCCACGTATTAGCAACCACTCATTGAAATTTTGCAGAGAACGTGCAGCCAAAAGCAAAAAGGGATCTATTCTCCCAATTCTCAAATGAGCCAAACCAGATATTGAAATTTTGAGGAAAGTTAAAAGTGGTGCAGAGATAACATTCTCCATGAATAAGAGTATGTATGGCACACAAAGGGGAGAAGAAACCCATATCAATTTGACAAGACAAAAAGGGAAACTGCAACATTTGGCCCAAGAAACTGAGAAGCACCAAAAAAAGAAAACCTACAATTACTCCTCAAGGTATGTCAGTTAAATGTCAAACTGAGGGACTATTCAATGACTACGAACTAGGAGAAGACTATCTTCTATGAACAAAACACCTTCGTTCAATAGTACTTGACCATTTTGGTAACGCATATCTACTTAACGGGGCTACGAAACAAAAATCCAGAAAACAAAAATTGTAGTTTCTAAGACAAAAGATACCTGCCCCCATCCAATATCTAATCCAGAAATTTCCACGGAAGAATAGTTGGCTCCTTCCCATTTCAAAGTGACTAGTTTCTTGGCTCGACCTGTAAGCTGATTCCATAACAAAGTCATTGGCAGTAACATCATAACAAAATAAATAATGAATAAGATATAGGAGTGTCATGTGGAATGCTTAATTCAGAAAGCAAAACTAGTATTGAAGAAAGACTAACCAATGCATGACATGGAAATTTGCGATTATTGAATAATCAACATTAATTATGAAGCTAGTCAAAAATTCCAAAAGGTCCTAGAGAGTCTGAGAATCCACCTGGACTAAGAGTGCCAGTTGTGCTTCCTGAGATTCCAAAAAGAACAAAACTCACAACGTTTTTTATCGTCATCATCATTCGAGCCTTATCCCAACTATTTCACGAAACGTTTTTAATTAAAAAATATAAATGTACAATTAGGAAAACATTAATTACTAACAAAATACATATACACTATAAAATGCATTACTAAATGCTGATTTGTAACCAATGTTAGAAAAACGGGCCGGTTAGAACCGGAACCGACCGGTTAGATCAGAATCGAGAGGGTTCCGACTCCGGTTAGGGCCGGTTTTGGTGTTCTAATATGTATACAAAACACCTAAAAAAAAATCCGGACCAAAACCAGCCGAAATATACCCAAATCGGCTAGTTTTATAGCTAACCAGCCGGGTTTAGAACCTAACCGGACCACTTTGAAAAAAACCGTTATTTATTGTTATAACGCCCGCATTAATGCGCTTTTGACATTATTTTTAACAAAGCCGTTATATTTGACAGAACCCATGACTTTTGTTTTATTAAAGATTTGATTCAATTTTTCTTGCTTTTACAGTTTTTTTTAGGCTTTTCAGTCAATTATTGACTGAAATTATTATTACAGTATAAAATGAAGGATTGGCACCGGAAACAAAACGAAATTTGATGTTTTTGCCCCCTTTTTTTTCGTGTTCTTAGCGTATTCAAAAAAAATCCGCCATTCTGCATAGTGTGGACTTGTTTTTTGATTTTTATCAATGAAAATCTAGGGATTTTGTAGATAATAGATTTAGTCAGTACATTCTACTCCGAATTTCATTTAAAACACCAGACTTGGAGCTTGATTTTGAGCGATTAGGGCATCAACTCGTTTTCGTAGCTCGGTTTTGAAAAAATCTGCCATCCTCCAAATTGTTAATTCAATTTCGGTTTTTTTTAATCAAAATCTAAGGCTTCTGTAGATGATGGAGATAGTCACAAGATTCAATTCTTAATTTCATTGAAAATCGGGGATTTGGAGCTCGACTTTGAGTGATAAGGGAATCGACACAGATTTTTAAAACTGAGTTGAAAACATCTGCTATACTCCAGATTGTTGATTCGATTTTGGGTTTTTTTCTATCAAAATCTAGGGATTTTGTAGATCACGGAGTTAGTCACAAGATTCAAGTCCTAATTTCGTTGAAAATCCGAGATTTGGTGATTGATTTCGATAGCTTAGAGCATCTACTCAGTTTTCTAAACTGAGTTAAAAATCATCCACCAACTTCTCGATTTTGTGCTCGATTTAGTGATCAATATTTACAGTTGAGATCAAAAGTATGAATTTCATGTGACTTTTCATTTAGTATTTTTTTTAATATGATTCTTCAGTGGCTCGAGTATTTCTTTACCAATTTATTTTGCTATAAAAATAATTATTTTGCTCAAGCATTGTTCAGTTACTATAACGGAAAAATCACTTAGTTACTTGAATTCGAAGCTAGTGGCTTTTTATGGTACTTTGTAATATTTGAAAGATTTAACACTTGACATCAATGTGAAGAATTAACACACTCAGTATTTGATGTTTTACTCATAAAAAATTTTATTATTTTTGTTCTTTATTAACTTGGGGTTCTAAGTTATAAGACACATGACCTTTGTAATGATATATATGAAAGTATTTTTTTATTTTCTAAAATATTATTATTTGTCTTTATTATCTTGGGGTTCATCGAATTAACACCGCTAATGGGAATGCACAGGCTTCTATGAATATTTTTTTTGCTCATTTGACTTTTATTTCCATTAATTGACCATTTGATATCAAACTACTCTTGTTTTGGCAGTAGTACAACTGCGTCATGTATGTTAAAATGCATATGTGTCTAACTGGGCATGTCTATCTATGCATGCGGACGAATGCACCTTCGTTTTCTATGAGCATTAACTGTATCTTGTCATACAAGTGTAGTGTGTAATGTATTAATGTGGGCATTAAAATATATGATATATAGGTGTATAATGATAAGATGTCATAAAAAAGGACAAGGGTATCTAAGAACCAAATTTGTCAAGCGTTCATAGAGCAATAGCATTTGGTGAATTGGCCAACTCATGTATCTGGTTATTGAGAAACTTCGGAAACCAAGTTACATCCCAAAAATTATTGGGACTCCATTTCCACTTTGATTCATGAATTTAAGGCTTTAAATACAATGCACGATTTAAGGACATTTTAATGACATAAGCCGTATTTTTTTTTCCAATTATTATTATGAGATAAGTTGTGATTTTGAATTCAAAACCAATTCCTAATGGCATCTAATGCATTTCAAAACATAAACATCCAAATAGCTATTGTTAGTTGGACTTTGTAACTCCATCAACAAAATTAATATCAAATTCTAAATTGTCTTGCATATCTCCATATCATTCATATATTAGTTTATATAAAAAGTTGTTTCAATTTTTTTCTTAAGATAAATGTAGGTAATAAGATCATGTACACTAAATCAATGTTTTTCTTTTCTTTTTTTTTTCTTTTTTTTTGAGGGGATTTTCACCCAGTTTAAAAATAAAAAAATTTCTACCGGATCGGTTAGTCCGGCTAACTGCCCGATTAGTCCAGCTAACTGCCCAATTAGTCCGGTTCCGGTTCTAACCGCTCCCAGACCCATGTCCAGTTAACCATTCCTGTTCGATTTTACAAACACTGTTTGTAAGGCAAGCAAGAGTGCCAAAGACTTATAGCTCCATTGCCTCCTTAACTTGGCTGTGCATAGTTGGCAATGGAACACTCTCCAAGTCACTCCTAGTTGTGAACACCTTTTTTGACAGAATAATTGTATTACTTTAACCCAAAAAGTTCCAATTTGTGATGTATGCCCATTTATTTGGCATTCTCTGAAGATCATCATTATCATCATCTGAGCTTGATCCAAAATATCAGGGGTCGGCTATACAAATCCTTCCCCACTATTCTACTCTATCAAAGGCCATACCCTCAATAAGGCATAAGTCACTATATCTTTCTCATTACTTCCATCCATATCATTTTGGGCTTTCCCCTTGCTTTTTAAGATCTTTCGACTTGAACCAAATCGCACCTCCTAACCGGAACTGTAATAGGTGCATGCTGCATGTGGCTAGCGCACCTAAGTCTACTTTCCCTCATCTTATCACCTATTGAAGTCGCACTTAAATTCGTTCACATGTATTCATTTCCAATTCTATCATTTCTTGCCTTACTACTCATCCATCTCAGCTACACTCATCCAATGGATATGTTGTTTCTTGAACCCAAACATTCCATCTCATAAAGCATAGCTAGTCTTATAGTTGTCCTATAGAATTTGCCTTTTAGTTTTATTGGTATGCGGCAATCACATAAAACTCCATATGCATATCTCCACTTCAACCACTCAACTCTAATTCTTTGTGCGATATCTTCTTCAATCTCTCTATTTTCCTAGATTATTGACCCAAGAATATTGAAAATAATCTCTTTTAGTTATTTCTTGGCCATCAAATCTTAACTACTTCCCCATTTCTACATTTCTACACGTACTATTAATAAACTTGCATTGCATATATTCTAAGATCGTATACAAAATATGGGGCCCGAGTGGGTACGTTGTATAATAGCAAAGACCTTAAATGAAACTAGAAAGCAAAAACTATGGAACCGAGCTCGAAAAATATTTATTAGGTTCCACCGGTGACCTTCAGCCCCACCTTAAGTGCGAACACATGTTTTAAGTTCTAATAGTTCCCATAAAATATGAAACAAAGGGAAAATGATGTATAGATGAAGGTGATGGAGGCAGGAGCATGGAACTCGAAAGCGAACACGTCTTACCCGTCCATGCGCCGAGCTGTATGGGCCAGCTGTCCATCCTTCCACCTTCACTGCCATCCTTGCTAACTCAAGCACTTTTGTATCTCTTGCATCTTAGAATCTTGCATCTTGGAAACTTCTCATTTGATTATTGACTCAAGAGCTTCTTTCAGAGGTGCGTGAAACTTGATTGACTCTAACGTCAATCTCTCTCCTTTCCCCTCTTCTTTTCATCTCTCTCTCTCTCTCTCTCTCTCTCTCTCTCTCTCTCTCTCTCTCTCCTTTGGCAGGGTTCTTACGATTGTTGGACCCAATGCATGACTGCCCTGACCTAACTTGCTATGCTTAGGTTCTTCTCCTTCTTATTGGTCTTCTTTCTTTCACTTCTTTTTACGTCTTCCAAGTTCAATTATTATTGCCTATTTGACAAAAAAATTTTTTTTTTTTGAAATTGCTATTTGACAAAATATTGAAGAAGAATGATGTAACAAGAGCGGCACCATGCGTATTGCTATGTACTATTCCTGTTGTTCCCACTTAGGGTTTCTACATAACAGCTGAGGTTATGTTTCACATAATCTCAACAAGGGCCACATCACTTACCCACAGGAAGGAAATTATACAGTTTTTATATATTGTAACACACTAACCTAAGCAATATGACTAGCTCTCAAGAAATAACTTGACTTCAACATAGAACACATCCAAGAAAAAAGCTACGCGATTAACAAAGACAACAATAATAACGTAAAAGATAAAGTACAAAACAATTTTGAACAATTTTAGATCCCAAAAAGAAATTAATTAGCACTAACAACATAATAAAAAACTTCACAACATTAATATACAAAACATTGCCAAAGGAAACTCAAGGAAAAATAACTGAGAAATCAGAAACAAGAAGAGATAACTTACGATATCAGCAGTTGCACTCTTTATAGCATCCAATTTTGGGAAGCATGGGCGTGAACTCTGTTGTATAAAGAAAAAACAGAAAAGGAACACTCTGATGAGTTTCACTTTTTACTTCAAAGAACAATGAACTAGCTGTACAAACGACAACTTTTCTCTAGTGAAATGAGTGAGAATCATTAAAAACCTTAGTGCAATGATAGTTACACATAAAAATGTTCTTTTTTATGGTTACGTAGAATAATACTGAGCTGTACACTATACTCCCACAGGAGCACACAATAGACTTACTCCCCAAGGCAAAATAACTCTTTACAAAAGTTGAAATTAAAGTAGTGAAGAAAACGGTTTGGTAGGATCTAAAGAGAGGAAAGAAAATAATGATGAAGGAGATAGAGAGAGGTGTGTGTGAGAGAGAGAGGGAAATGAGTGGCTCAGAAGTCACTTCCTCAACCCCTCTTATAACATTCAGTAATAACTCTAAGTACAACTTATGGACAAGACTGCCCTTATTTAGAGAATAAGACAAATAAGGACTAAACAAAAGATAAATGACAGTTCTATACATCAAATACAATAAAGCTTATTCTTTTTATTTCCAACACTCCCCCTCAACCTGGTGCATAGGTATCAATCATGCCCAGCTTGCTTGGGATATCAAGTAATTTGTCCCATCCAACGGCTTTCATGAAGATACCTACTAGTTGATCTTTAGACTTCACATGAGGAGTCTGAATAATCTTGGCAGCAATCTTCTCTCTGATAAAGTGACAATCTACTTCAATGTGTTTAGTCCTTTCATTCAAAAGAGAATTTACTGTGATATGGCTGCTTCATTGTTACAATATAGAGCCATGGGAAGCCTAACTCTAACACCCAAATAAAAAAGAACATTTTTTATCCACATTACTTCGTATGTACCATTAGCCATTGCTCGGTATTCTGCTTCAGCACTTGATCATGCCACCGCATTTTGCGTCTTGCTTTTTCAAGTAACCAGGTTTCCCGAAACGAAGGTATAATTGCCAATTGCAGATCTTCTATCGGTTTGGCAACCAGCCCAATTAACATCAGTGTAAACTGCAACATCAGGATGTCCTTGATTTGAGAGAAATATCCCTTTCATTGGTACAGATTTGAGATATCTTAATTTATGTACACAGCATCGAGGTGGAGTTTATGTGGTGAATGCATAAATTGTCTAACTACGCTGACGACATAAGAAATTTATGGTCAAATGATTATGAGATATATAAGCTTGCCCCTTATTTGTTGATAGTGATTAGGAGCATTGAGTAGCTCTCCCCTTTCTCCATGGAGTTTATGATTGACTTCTATAAGAGTATTTATAGGTCTAGATCCCAACATCCCCGTTTGTTGTAACAAGATCAACACATTTTTCTCTGGGAGGTGACTATCCCTTTCGTGGATATCGCCACTTCAATTCCCAAAAATACTTAAGGAGTCCTAAATCTTTGATATCAAACATTCTTTAAATAAGATTTAAAATCCTCAATGCCCTTCACATTATCCCTTGTCACAACAAATCATCAACATACACAACAGAGGAGTAATTCCAACAATATCCTTCTTCATAAAGAGTGCATAATCAGCTTGACTCCTTTTGAACCCAAATTTGAACAGTGCCCCACTGAATTTTTTAAGCCATGCACTAGGAGATTGTTCAAGTCCATATACTGCCTTCTTTAACTTGCAAATCTTTCCTATTTCCCTGTTAATTTGAATATCAGGAGGTATGGCCATATAGATTTCTTCTTAGATGTCTCCATGTAAGAATGCTTCTTAATATCTAGCTGATCGAGTAGCCACAATATATTTGCAGCTAGTAAAAAATAATCCTCACAGTGCTAACTCGACCACATGCACGAAAGTGTCTTGGTAGTCTATACCAAGAGTCTGGGTGAAACCTTTTGCAACAAATCTTGCTTTGTAGCTACCATTAGCTTTGTATTTTACAATGAATATTAATCAACATCTTATGACCTTCTTCCCTTCAGGAAGGTTAGTAATTTCCCATGTATTAGTCCGCTCAAGTGCTCACATCTCGTCGCCCATGGAAGCATTCCATTGAGGTTGTAAAAGTTCTTCAATAATACTAGAATGTATTCCAACAGAAGACAAAGCAGATATGAATGCAATATGAGAGGGAGACACAAAATTGTTGGATATGACGTTTTTATTGGGGTTATGTACCCATTTAAAGGCCTTACGAGAAAATGTACTAAAATTATTCATATTGTGAGATGATGGCTCTATTGAGCGTGTGATCTGGATGGACTGTAAGGCATCATTGATACCATGAATCACCTAAGTTTCAACTAGCTAGGCTCGGTATGATGTTCAAAACTCGTAGCCCTGAGCATTTGTGCACAACCAATAAGGACTTCGTTGTGGGGCTATCCCTTTAATGAGGTAGAAGATGTGCTAGTGGTTGCTCGAGTACTAGATATGGCCCCTATGTGTGGTGGTTGGACAGAGAAAACAAGGGCTATATCTTCATGAATACCACCACACGACATGTACACTTGATAACTGTCAAGAAAGCAACCTTACTGGGGGCGTATCGTGTATATGTACCGAAAAGATGTCTCCCTGCAATACTAGACTGTGTTGGAAGGACTCATGAGGTATTGTGCTAGAATGCGATGTGGACTTGTTCTCAAGGAGGGATCTGCAATCCATGGACTAGGATTGTGTATCCTTCATTTATTGGCTAACTTGGATAGTCCAAGCACAAACCCCTGCAATAGGCTATGGGTCATGGGAACTGTTGGGTCAGTTTGAAAAGATGACAATTTGGATACGGTTTCTATGATAGATGGAGTCGTCAGGATATTTGTGTTATTCATGACTCTTTGGATCCAATTCCCATCAAATTCATTTTAATATGTTTAATTATATTTCATTTATATTTTTTATTATTAAAATGAAATTTTAGAGCTCTATGGATATTGTATTTTGGCTCAAAAAGATTTTAAATATGCTAAAATTAATTTTCTGGATTTATTTATTTTAGAGAAAATAAAAAATATTTATTAATTTCTAAAAATTGTTCTTATTAATCTAAAATGAAATGGAGGTTGTGGGGGCTCATTTGAACTTGTGGGCCAGCCACAAAGATGCCCACATATGGGAGGAGTGGAGCCAACAAGGGCCCATACTAAGTGACATGCCCCACCTCCTCTTTCCTCAATGAGATGGCCTATTGAGCAAGACTTCTAGAAAGATGTTTAAATAAAAGGACGGTGTTTTTGAAATAGGATAATTGATTTCAAAAAGGGAAATAATTGACATTGATTAAAATCAATAAGGGAAATTGTAAATTATTTCTTTAAATAAATTTGAATGGGAATAGAGTTATAGAAACTGGGGGATAATGGTCCTATCTCATCCTTTAATCATGATGGCTGATCCAAGAAATTAAGAGTTAAGATCTCTTCACCCTACATGTTTCCAAGAGCTAAAGTCGAGATTAAGGCTCATAATGATGATAAAACCGTAGACCCCAAAACCCTAACCTCTACTCCATAAATATTCGCTATTGAGGGTTCATTCAATACAGTTGTGAACAGGTTGGCCTTTCTCCTATGCAAGTACAACCCACTCTCTCTCTCTCCTCTTCTC